GAACCAGGATGTGGCATTTTCATTTGTTCCGTTCACTACAAACCTGGCTGGACTGTGCCACACAGCAGGGGGTTTATCCTGTGCCTAGTCAAACACCCAGCCTTTGCAAAATGCCTGTGGTTTTTGCATCAGAACATACGAGGAAAAACTGGGCAATCATCCGAAAGCATTCCCGCAGCAGGCAGGATGTCCTCACTGAACAATCCCCAAAACACCTAAAAATTTGTAAGCCTGAGAGCTCTTGATGAATCTGAGAACTCAGAAACACCTCAGTCAAGTCTGCTCTGAGAGATGAAGCGGGCAGACCTGCAGGGGTGGTGACCAGCACCACAGGGTCCAGCGCCAGCACAGAGGCAGGATTTCCTGGGGAGGGCGGGTTACAGCCCACTCGGGGCAGGGAACAGGGCAGGACAAGGGTGCAAAGGGGGAAAGTTGCTTCTGAGGAGGTTACCTGCTGCTTGTTCTCCATTGGCAGCAGAGGCACAGATGTCTCTGTTGATGGGTACCCAGGGCTGGCTGACCAAGAAGCATCTGGACTGGTGCTGGAGTTATCTGCTCTACGGTTTTCCGCCTGTCAGGGAGTGAAGGGATGTTCCCTTAAAACTCTACAGTCGTGGATGGGAACATTTGAAGCCGCCTAGTCCCTCTGTTAGCGTACACAGGTGCCTGAGGTGAGGCGCCTGAGGTGAGGCTGGAACAACCCGGCACGGAAGGAGACCCGGTGAGGATAGAGCGAAGCACAGGAGCTGTGACTTTTTGGGATAAGGCCACACAGGCTGCTGAGCACACCCACCGCGCCATGCAGCAATGGACAGGCATCAGCCTTTCTTGCAGACTTAAAATGGGAGCTACCTGGGCAGCTGCAGGCTGCCCTCTGAGGGAGAAACTTCTCCACACTTCCACGGGCGTAGCTAGAGGCTGCTCCTCACCCCCCTGGGAGGACACTTGCCCCAGTACCAGGAAAATAAACCCCCAGGGAAAAGCCTGAGACAAAAGGCACCTGCCTCAGACCGGGCCTGCGGCTCCAAGCGACTGCTGCAGCTTCATCTGCCACCACCCCAGGGCAGGGCTGCTGACCGCTCCACACAGCACACACGGTACCAGCCCAGGGGCCGCTGCCGCCCGTCCCTGTGGGACCGTCATGCTGCCTGCCCAAAACGGCGCCTCCCCAGCAGGAGAGGTGCTGAGCCCATGGGAGCCCCCGACCACCACGGCCGGGTGGTGCCGGGAAAGAGCGGGAAAGCTGGGAAGAAACCCCGCTTCAATGGCCGCTGAAGCCCACAGAAGGGATAAAGGGCCCTGCAAGGCTGCCCAGCGCTGGCTGTGGGTCCCTTCGGTGACCACCATCCTGTGACAGCTGCAGACCACGGAGCAGAAACGGTGTCATAAGAGGCAAACCAGCTTGTCTTAAAGATTTATTTTTTACTCTTTAGATCTTCTGCTTTTACTGCCCTCCTCCCCTTTTTTTTTTGTGTACAGTTAAATGAGGTGTCACACGAACCACCTTGCAACCTTGCATTTAGTAGCTGGGTACAGCGCTAAGGCTTTGCAGAAATTGAAAACAAATTGTTCTTCTTGTTACGTGAAGGTTTGTATGGAGATATGCCCCAAGTCCTTGCCCTCGAGCTGTCTAGGTGAGAAGCCTGATGGGTACAGGTGCGGCATGGCTGCCATGCAGCCTGTGCACGCAGCGTTGCTTCTCAGTCAGGGCAAAACCTCACCAGCCAAGAGACTCCATAATCTAGTTAGATTAAAAAATATGAACTGGTATTAATACCAGGTAGTATATTTACCCTGGAGTCCTCAAAAGAGCTCTACCAATCTCCTGATCTATTTCTCTTTCCCAAAATCAAGAGGAAGTAACTTTGCCAAAATACATAAAACCAGGGGGATGTTTGCAAAACCAGATCCACAATAATTGTTGGGAGGGGAATGGTTTCTATGCACTTTAAGGGAATCTGCCTCCCACGAGACAATGGTGCAGCCAGCACCATGGTGTGATACTGTGCTGTGGGGAACTCCACTGCACTGGGAAAGGAGATGTGCAAAGTTAAACAGTTAAACCAGCAGCTTTTCTTGTGAACAAGTGGTGAAAGCTTTTTCCAGTGCTCCTACCGCCCCTCAGAAGTCATCTGTCCAAGCTAGAGACCAGTTCTCAAAGCCTTTACCAAAGTAGCAAAATGTCAAGGTACTGAGCAAGCCTGGGATGTTTTTATCCCCCCATGTCATTTCTCAGGCTTTGGCTAAATCAGATTGTCTGCAATGACAAAAATTTAGCCTGCTTCTGGAATCTCAGAACTTCTTGCCTCCTGTGACATGAGTCATGGCTGCTCTTACAGTGATAAGAAAGAAAAATTTCTCTGGCTGTTCATTTTGATCCTTTTTTTATCCTTTCAATCCTATGCAACTATCAGGAAAGCTAATTGGATTTCCTCCTAGATTTTTTATTTGTGAAATAAAAATGTAGTTTGTGTAACACCTTATGACCACTCTTCTGTTACTGTAATGCAGTATATGGGAAAACTAACAAATTACCCAACTCATTAACCATGAATGAAACACAGCAAGTCCTGGAGCACACAGAAGTCATCACTTGCCTTTTTTTTTTTAGCATCTATAGCCATTTTATATAGACTCAGCATGTGGGGAGCTAAACAGCCAGAAGAGGGTAGTATAAGTTAGTTAATAAACCTCATCTGTAAAGCGGAGCTATTTTTGAGAAACACCTACTTACATTTCTGGCTGCAAGGTAGAGAAATAGAACATTGAGAAACTCATCACCAAGCTTTTGACAGAACATGGAAAAGCAGATTTACAGTCAAGACTGACAAGTATTAGACTGATAGCAGGCCACAGAGCTTTTTGCAGTCTATTACCTCCTGTTTGAACAATGTCTGTATTATTAATAACAATGCACATCCAAAGCAACTTCATGACTTTGCTTTCAGGGGATAGCAGCACATGTCAGTAAAACTAACAGTGCTCCTGAGTGCATCTTGGCACATTGCCTTGCCTGCAGCGAACCTGAAAGACCAGATGGGGAAGTCATGAAAATGTACAATGCTGAGAGCTCCGTAAGAGGATGGTTCAGGGTTGAGGTAAGAGAATATGGAGCAGCAGTTTGCTGAGTTCACCACACAGATGCACTTTTGATGGCCTGAATGAAAATTTTCTCCTTGCTGCTGCCCCTAATGTCTACCCAAAATAAAATGCTGCTCCCACACCCTGTGTGCAATAAGCGAGTATTCACAAAGGGAATGTTGCTGTATCTGGCAGAAGCAGAAACACCTCTGTAGAGACACTAACTTGCAGGAGCTTTGGATAATTCTCTTCTGTACCTATGCTGAGGATTTCCTTATCAAGGGCTATCTATCTGTGCTGGTTTTGGCTGGGATAGAGTTAATTTTCTTCATAAGTATCTAGTACAGGGATATCAGAGCTATGTTTTGGATTTGTGCTGAAAACAGTGTTGATAATACAGAGATGTTTTCATTAGTGCTGAGCAGTGTTTACACAAGAGTCAAGGCCTTTTCTGCTTCTCACACCACCCTACCAGCGAGGAGGCTTGGGGTGCACAAGCATTTGGGAGGGGACACAGCTGGGACAGCAGACCCCAACCGACCAAAGGGATATTCCATACCATGTGATGTCATGCTCAGCATATAAAGCTAGGGGAAGGAGGAGGAAGGGGGGGATGTTTGGAGTAATGGCGTTCGTCTTCCCAAGTAACCGTTACGTTTGATGGAGCCCTGCTTTCCTGGAGATGGCTGAACACCTGCCTGCCCATGGGAAGTGGTGAATGAATTCCTTGGTTTGGTTTGCTTGCGTGCATGCCTTTTGCTTTACCTGTTAAACTGTCTGTATCTCAACCCATGAGTTTTCTCACTTTCACTCTTCCAATTCTCTCCCTCTCCCGATTCTCTCCCCCATCCCACTGCGGGGGGAGCAAATGAGCAGCTACGTGGTGCTGAGCTGCTGGCTGGGGCTAAACCACAACACTGTCCAGTCTCTATCAATGCTCCTAACTGTAAACAAAACCGAATTGCTGCTGGGCATTTCATTATCCAGAGACATGGGTTAGCTTGCAATTTTTTCTTTACCCATCCAAGAGATCAGATGGCAGCGCTCTTCCCTGAGAAGTTGATAGGGCTTGCCTGAGGAGGTACATGACAGGAGAAGGAAGATTAGAGGATGACTGTTATTGTCTGCATCACACTAGTGGTTCAAAATCCCAGACAGGATCAGGCCTCCACTATGCTAGATGTACACTCACACAGGATAAGAAAAGCTGTAGCCTGGGAAAGGAAGCTGAAACAGACAAAAGGTGAGAGGGGAAACAAGTACAAAGGCACAAAATACCATGCCCAAGAACATACAGCCAGTGACTGGCCAAGGAATAGAAAATTCCTGTCCTGTCAACTTGCTTCTGGCAGAGCTGCTTTAAATTGCTCAGAGGCTGTTAGGTGAAAAAGACTGTGTGTTTACACCTTGGAAAGGCACTGAGGAGATAATACACCATTTATTCATATTTTATTTGTACTCTATACCTGAAACAAAGTGGAAATGCAAGCTGAATCTTTTTCCTACAATTCTTTTCCCTCCACCCTTTCAAAAATAGCACATATAGAAAACATTGAAACTCTTCATTTCAAAGACCATCGCATCAGACTATAAAATGCTAAACCAGATGCCCTTCACCCTGCTGCTACAATGCAGCCACTTTCCCAGCTTGAGTGTGTTCATTATCCCTACAGCACACAAACAGCAAACAGGAGCTGGAGCAGGGAAGGGAACAAATACTGTATGGAGGTGGCATTAGGGTGTCAGACTACTTTCATCCCCTGAAAGGTTTAGTTTCAGGTATTCTGAAAACCTTCACGTGACAGATTTGGAAAGTCTTTAAAGCAGTGCTGTCCCTTCAAATTACCAGTTGCAAACTTGCTCACAATTTCCCCTGGACTTGGCTGTTAGTTACAGAAAGGACTTTTAAAATTACATGCAAACATCCAGCTGCCATGTCTGCTTCACTCAGTCCCATGTCTCTGACCGTTTTTTAATGTGATATAGAAGCAAAAACAAACTATAAAGATTCTTTCATCCTGAATGACACATAAAGGTTACAGTAATAAGCTGGTTCCCATAACATTTCCTGCCTTTGCATTATGCATTTTAGCTTCTCTGGCGCACAATAGGTACATTATGGAGAGTGATGTTTGATGAAGTTGTTAGTTTTTTGCATACACATCCCTGCTCTGAGCTGCAGTTCTAGGGGCCTCGTTTGCCATTTGTGTCAGTCTCGTTGGGCTGAGCTTCCTTTGTGAGCTGCCTGTCCATTAAAAGGAGTGTGAGGATGGCCACACAGAGTCAGCTAGTCTACCTAGAGCGGTTTCCCCTTGTGTTTCCATACCGCCCGACACTGTTCCCTGCAGAGGGATTTGGACAGATGACGCGGTGGGTAAGGGGACATTACCCCTTAGAAACATGCTTGAAGAGCTGCTGTTCACCTCGCTTCCTGGGTTGGCAACATTTACAGCACTGTTGCTCACTGTCCACAGGCAAGGGTAGTGGCTGGAAAAAAAAAAGCAGTAAAATTAAATTTCTTATTTCAAAGCGTTATCCCCCGCACTGACTTACCACAGTAAAGTCAAGCACGTTATCTGCCAAAAGGCAGCTATCTGAAACAAATTACTAAACTAGATTAGCCTTGCGGATCTTAAGTGAAGAACCACCAGCGACCAGCAGACCCAGTGGCCTTGGAGAGAGCTATGGAGAGAAATGTACAAATACATGTGAGGTTTCAAGATTTGAAGATCTTTTTCATGAATGCTTATGAACTTTAAAGAATTGCAGCTGAATTTCCTGGCACCTAAATCAGAAAATAAATGTGTGCATTTATTTTGGGAAAAGAAGATGAAATACTTGATAATTAACTGACTCTCTAGGTCTAAATTCCAGCCATTCTTTGAACTGTTTACTACCCTATTAATAATATTTTTACAATAGAACATGAGTTAGATTGTTACATCCCTGCATGGGAGTAGGATCCTCATTTCATACAAGAGAATAGCGAGGAATATATAGAGGAAAATAATTTGGCTGTAAAACGCTCACAGATTGTAGATACCAGAGTTCTCTGTGGCTGTTCCAAGATCCTGGTTTTCAGCAGTGCTGGGGAAAGACAAAGCTCCTATTGATTTCAGAGCAGGAGATAATTAGCTTGTCAGAAAGATCTGTCCAGGAATCTTGAGTTTGGCACTTAGGACACATTTCAAATCCTGGATGCCGATTAAAGCTTGGGACAAAGTGTGAATCACCAGGGCAATCCTACAAGCCTCATTGCTTCTAGTATCAGCAGTTTTCTCATAACCTTACCTGGGTCCAGGGCTGGCAGCTCCCTTCGTGTGTGGCACTGAGAGCAAATTAGCATGGGGAGAGGATGGCAAAGTCCAGCTGTCATGTCCAGAGAACACCGGAAGATTATTGCTGGAGCTCTCCAACAAATTAACTTGGGGTGAGAGGCAGAAAAAAGCAACAAACAAATCCTCAGTGACTTTTGCAGAGACATTGTCTTAAGGCAACAGAACATGGGTAGGCCTGAGGAAGCAATCTGATCAGGAGGTTCCTAACCACAGGTAAAAGGACAAAATTCATGTGTTTATTAAGAGAGCAGCAAGGTGCCATTGTAATTCCAGGTGTGATACATGAGAAGGTACAGCATGATAGACATAGGATATGCATTTTTGCAAGTCTGACTAATAGTCTTTTCGTTAATGAAAATTACCATATGACTGGCAATCATTAGATACAGATTTCCTTATAACTCGAGCTTAAATATTTCCATTAAACAGGATGCCTTGCTATATTATAATTAGCAAGCAGATTACTTTATCCTTACTCTTGTTTCTGTTTCCTCTGATCAAAGTAGAATCAATTTCTGGAACTCTGCACCCAGATCTAGAGAGTGAAAGGGACTCAAAAGACATTCTGGCAATACCAAAATGCCCTCATCTCAAGTCAGCTCCTACCATGTTCCTAAGGGCTGCTTTGACTTGAGAGTACAACTACTTCATGGCACAATGTTGAAAGAAGGCTTATACTGCTCTTTTTGTATAATCGAGAGCTATACTTTAAGCAAGATCATTCACTCTCATTTATAGTCAACAGTTACAGTGCACTCAGCTCTTTGTACCTCTTATTTTGCCGCCCTGTGCTTGCAGGGTTCAGTGCAAATCATTACAGAGACTCATCAAGCTCTTTCTTCGCCTCAGCTCTTGCTTGTTTTAATGCTCATGCTAACCTAAAGGAAGGGTCAGTCACAAGGAGACTGTCTGTTCCCTGAAAGCAAAGCAGCATTACAGTTGTACCTGTAGGTGAATGATTTCTCTGCATGTAGGAAGGTGGGTACGGAGCAGCCCGATGCCCTCGCAGTGCTGAATATCGCTCGCAGCCGTGGGGAGTGTGTGGAGCTGGCAGAGGCAAAGGTCCAGTGTACTGATAATTAGAGCTTCCTGATGCGCACATTGTATCCGGGTTGGAAATCAACCAGCCACCCACTTCGAGGGGAAAGAGAGAAGAAAACTATGATTGCACTAAACCACTGCAATACAATAAAGCAACTAGCCTTCTTGCAGAATCAGCTGTGACTCAGAAATACCAAGCAGTTCCCAAGATACTGGTTTATGGAACAACAGACAATCAAAAAAAAAAACCCCAATCCCCAAAAAACACCCACCAAAAAACCCCAAACCCACCAACCCTAAAAACAAGATCTGAAAACAACTAACAGAAAATGTCACAAATATCAAAGAACAAATGAAAGAATAACTGACCATCATTAAAGCAAACACAACCTCTGCTCCCCCCATTTTTTTTAACCTGTTCACCAATGAAAGGTAATTTTTTAGGTGACAAAAATATTCAGTTACAAATAAAAAAAGGGGGAAAGAGAGCTCTAAAAATACCATACATCATCTTGATTCTAGATTCCTTTAAATATTGGAAAAGCTGGATCATAAGGAAAATGATCCCTCTACAGAAACTGTCACATTATTTCCCACTGTGAGGTTTCCTCAATCTTTTTTTTTTTAAAGTGTCTCTTCCTGTGAACACAATTCAGAACTCAGTGAATGACTGGTATGATACACTAATCAAGTCCCAGGCTCCCAGCACCTATCATATCACACAAAACTTCCAGCTGACATGAATAAAAACCTTACAGTGAGAATATGTCATATGTTGACCTTCAGAGACTGTTTCTGGAGCATCCTTGGGATGGTTTCTGAAAAGCAAAACACTTCGTGGTAAAACAAAAGAAAGTTAAAAACAGAACCATTCTGTTTTAAAAAAATGGAAAGTTAAAAAGGAGGGAAATCCATCTTCTTTAATCACTTGCTAGACAGCAGTCCTTTTCTGCAGTCTGCCATAAAGGAAGCAGGAACTTCTGTTTCATGGCATGCATAAAAATGTTCCTAAGTCTGTGCCAAATTTGGGGACTGAACCTGGAATTCTAAATCTACCTGTGGGCACTGTTCCTGCTTGCACCAACAGCCTCAGCCTGGCCTCCTGCCCAGACCACGGCAGGGCTCTGCCTCCTGCTCAGCCAGGCAAGCTGAAGGCAGCGTTCCCCCTCCGCAGCTGGGAACCCTGACACTGAGACACAGCAGCTTCTCAAGTGGCGACAGGAATAGAAGGAAATACAGATTTCTCCTGCAGGCACGCGGGACACTTCGCATGTGAGAAGACATAGCACATCCCAACAAAATTTATTAGCAATTAGGGACTGGAATGCATTGCTTGGATGCCCCACTGCATTAGCATGGATAATGCAAGTAAAACTTTGAAAGATAAACCACAATTTGTTGCTGATGGAAGCATCTCTAATACCTTACATAGTGAGCACCTACAGGTTACTTTAAATAAACACATCACACAGGTTTAATAACAGCAGCATAGTTATATTACGGTTACAGTGCAGTTTCACTTTAGTTATGTTTTTTACATCTGCAGTTAACTTTTATTCTCCCTAAGCTGTCAAATCATGGGATTCATTGGAGCGCAAGTACAATGTAGTGAACATATGTGCTGTGTAACATTACTGGGGAAACTACCACCACCTCATTTCAGGCTTCTTGTGTAGACAGTGCTAAGTCCTAGGATCTCCAAGAGGATACTCACCCACTTCAGACCTTATTGTGGTAATAATAATCATATAGTGAGTCTCCCCACTAATTTCAGTGGAGTGACTCTGGATTTAAGACAGCAGAAACAAGATTGAGTTACATAATTTATCTTTCACATTGTGATGCCACAGGTTTAGCCATATCAGCAGCAAAATGCTACTGGAGGGAAAAAAAAAAAAAAAAAGAAAAAGATGAACTCACCTTTCCTTCGCATCCAGGAAGGCTTTGGCAAAGGGATTATACTTGATTTTGAGAGCTGTTATCTTCAGTTTACAGAAAACAAGGCATGTTAGTGAAGGCAATGTGGAATAGAGACTTGACAAAACATCTTCCAGAGTAACCTAAGTGGAACTGCCTAGGTTGCCCCAACAAAATATCCCCACACATGAAGTTTTCCAGGGCTGGCTATGAGGGGGCTTTGCTTGTTGCAGGGTGTTGTGTACTGATCAGTGCCACAGTCTGAACACCATTCGGGGCAGCCTAATGGTGTGGTCTAGTCTGGGAAACCCCATGGGATGGTGAGCCCTTTCAAGAGAGTTTAAACATGGAATTCCTACCAAGCATGAATCAAATCTGCAGCAACACTAGCTAAGGGATATGGCACATGAGTTAGCAATTGTCACAATCCAAAGCATCCCTCAATTATGATTTTAGGGTTGGGAAGAAATTTTCTCATGGAATGTTGTGCTGTTCTAGAATTGTATGTATTATAAGGAGGGTGGAGAAGACAGGGTTATCATTGTAACTATCACTCATTGCTGGAGAAAGATATTGGACTTGAATGTAGGGGTTTTTCCAGTAAGGGATTGGGGTGCCAGGACAGATGGACCAGTCTGGAATAGCTGTGGCAGAATATTAAGCGAAACCTGGCTTAGTACTGCAGCCAGATACTGGATTAGACAATGTTCTGCTGCAGAGAGAAGACAAAGCATTAGACTGGATGGAGCGTTACCCGGCTTGGGGCTGGTGGGGAAACAAGAAAAGGACCTGTCTGTCCATGCTGATCTTGTAGTCAATAAGCTTTTAATATATCTCATCAGTCATGACCAAGAGCTCAGCATGACATCCGCCTACCTCTTCATTTTGATAGGCAGTCACAGCTATGAACTGCGTCTCAGGGAAGGAACAGTTCATCACCATCCGGTGGGGGCCTCCTACGCGAACTATGTGTACCTGGGGCTCATATTTATGCAGGGAGTTCAACATTATCTGCAGAAAACAAAACAAGACAGACAGACCCCAGTGCCACTCTGGTATCCCCCAGCTGCTCTTTCGCTCTGGCTCTGTAATAGACCAGATGTCACTGCTAAACCTCCCCAGTCCGTGATTATTGAGAGCAGAAGGGCAGGTGCCCTCCTCCCTTCTGATGAACCACAGGGCTGAATGGAGTGAGGCTTCACTGGGCTTGGATTTAAAGCTTTCAACACAGCAGCATTAGTGAATATTTGTGTTAGCAGCTATGGCCTTCAGACCATTGGGCTTCCACTGCACTACAGGCTGTTCAAGCAGTTAAGGGGCAATTCCTGTCCTGCTTCTACTATCTGAAAGACTCAGCATCACCATCACAGAAATTGAGGCCAGGAGGGAGCTGAGGCCATCACCTAGTCATCTTTTTGGCAAGATGAAGCGTACCTAGACAAGCCTTGGCAGATGTCTCTAACCTGGCATTAAAACCTGTGAATAGTGTTGATTCCACAATACACCTTCCTGAGGAAGCCTTCTATATTGCTTAATTTTCTCTACTGCAAGAAAAAGATATTTTTTAAAAGATCTGCACAGTGGCAAGTGCTGTGTGCATGCATATATATTTATGTGCACATGGGCATTAGCATAAAGCTCTGCTAGTTAGCTATTACTTTCTAATAACACCACAGAAGGGGAAGCTGAAGCACAGGATGAGGACATGGTTTACCTTAACACTGTTGTCAGAGGAAAACAAGGAGACCTTCAATTGTTTGTTATTTAGTGACTTTTGTTTAGGGTCTGTTTCTCATTTGGCTTTTCTTCCCTTCCTACTTTTTTTCCTCTCCACTTCACCACACATACATGCAGTGTTCCCTTGTTTTTTTCTGTAGAGTCTCTCTTTGACCCTCCAAGTTGTTTTCCTGTAGGTTTTTTACCCCCATGCATACTTTTCTGAGGCCCTGGATGCAGAACAAGAACTTGCAAATTCAGAACCTGTTCTATGCTCCACAATAAATCTTGTGTGCTGATTCCATGCATGACTTGGGAAAAGTCAGGTCATCTTTCAGTTCTCCAGTGTGTAAAAATTGAGATAATTTCCTACCTAATTAGGGTACTAGGCTTATGGAGGTACCTCACAAACCTAATGGAAATAACAGATAGAGAACATATAATATTTACATGAAAGAAATTGATTCTGGGCTGACAAGTATCATCCAATGTAGGAGTTTTGTACAAAACAAACAAGCAAACAAAAGGTCTTGTGCAACATTTTACCTTTAGATGCATCATCAAAAATAAAATATGAAGCAAAACTAATTTTCCTGTTTGCATTTTTAAGGGGTTCAAACAGAAAGTCACTTATTTCTGGTACATGTGGTTTCTTTCCAAAGGCCAAAGCTGATTCAATAGAATATTGATAATTATCATGATGCAGAAGCAGACATAGTAATTATTTCATTTAGGAGCAGCCTTTTATTCTGCTATCTGACTCCTGCCAACATTCCACTTACACCAAACAACATGGGGGAACACAACAAAAACCTAATACCCGTGACCATTTTTTCCCCCTTCTCTGAAGTCCTATGTAAAAATCCCCAGCACACAAGACCAACTCTGAAAAGCCCCCCGATGATTAAGTAAACCACAGCACTCTGTCTCTCTTAACATCAAGAAGTCCATTAAAATCTGAAAGCGCCAATTAAGGCCTGTTTAGTCCTGTTTACATTTGGCCTCCAGAGAATAATTGGCATCTGTGGGTGAAGAGGCCTGTAAGGGCCTCTATAATTACATAAATGTACCCTTGATATTTCTTGATTGGTAGGTGCTTGCAATTGAAGCCAAGAGGTGTATGAGGAAACATCAGGCCATACCTGCCCACTCCCATTGAGCTTGTTGGTAAGTTTGACTTTGCTGAAGGAAATGGCAGCTTTCATCCAATGAGCCCCAAAGTTGGGAGAGTCTGGGTGGATGTAGACGCAGCTGTGGTTTGGTGGCTCTGGTTTCCCAGCTGGCACCCATTCTCCGTTGACGTACTTCCAGCGGTGGCCGTCAGTTGGGGCAAAGTCCAACAGGAAGGAATACATGGCATTTGGGTCCAAGCCTGACACACTGATCTTCAAAACAGGGAACATCCGCCTGGCCAGGAAACAAAAAAGGGAGACGCCACTGGAAACTGGTTTTGAAAGATTCTCCTCAGTATGCTTGTGACCAGATGCTCATAGATTAGGTCAATGTAAAAAAAACATAGAATCATAGAATGGTTTGGGTTGGAAGGGACCTCAAAGATCATCCTATAGGCAGGGACACCCTCCACTAGACCAGGTTGCCCAAAGCCCCATCCAACCTGGCCTTGAACACCTCCAGGGATGGGGCAGCCACAACCTCTTTGGGCAACCTGTTCCAGTACCTCACCACCCTCACAGTAAAGAATTTCTTTCTAATATCTAATCTAAATTGACCCTCTTTCAGCTTAAACCCATTACCCCTTGTCCTGTCACTACACTCCCTCATAAACAGTCCCTCACCAGCTTTCTTGTAGGCCCCCTTCAGGTACTGGAAGGCTGCTATAAGGTCTCCCAGGAGCCTTCTCTTCTCCAGGCTGAACAACCCCAACTCTCTCAGGCTGTCCTCATAGGAGAGGTGCTCCAGCCCTCTGATCTTTGTGGCCCTCCTCTGGACTCGCTCCAACAGCTCCATGTCCTTCTTATGTTAGGGGCCCCAGAGCTGGACGCAGTACTCCAGGTGGGGTCTCATGAGAGCAGAGGGGCAGGATCACCTCCCTCAACCTGCTGGTCACACTGTTTTTGATGCAGCCCAGGACACGGTTGGGTTTCTGGGCTGCAAGCGGCACATGGCGGCCAATCAACACCCCCAAGTCCTTCTCCTCAGGGCTGCTCTCAGTCCATCCTCTCTCCCTCCCTCTAGCTGAAGAAGTCTCTTAAAGGTTAATCGCTCGTTTTATTTTTATTTCAATTATTTGGAAAAAAACATGTTATCTCTAAAGTAGGGCACTAAGGTCTTGATCACGCCAAGAGTTAAGAACATAATGAACTGTGTGTAGCGTCAGCAGAGTCCATGGGATCTGAATGTGCTAAATACGTCCTTAGGTGTGGGACAAGAAGGCATGAACAAGATGGAACAGAGTTGAAAATCACTGAGAAGGTGGAGCTGAACCACAGATTCACTGCATTAACTACAGAATCCTATTATAAAGTGCACTTCTTTGGTGCTTAGATTACCCTGATACACTGTGTTGGTTTTG